GTATGAGAAAAAAATTCCTATTATTCTGCCTTCTAAACATTGGATTGTAAGTGGTAGAAATGTTTGTAGAAAATTTGTAAAAAAATGTATACCATGTTTAAAGCTAATCCCAATGTAGCTCAACAAATCATGGGTGATTTACCCAAGGAAAGAATTACAGCTAATCTTACATTTAATTGTACTGGAGTTGACCTCTGTGGCCCATTCTTAATTAAGAACAAAAACCAGAGAAAAGGTATATATCAGAAAGTTTATGTGTGTATATTCATTTGTATGGTTACTAAGGCCATTCATTTAGAGCTGATAACAGACCTAACATCTGGAGCATTAATAGCACCTTGAAACGTTTCTTTGCACGAAGAGGTAAAAGTTCTATACTATTTAGTGATAACGCTACTAATTTTGTAGGTGCAGATGAAGAATTAAAGAGGTTAAATAAACTAGTGAACGAACAAGATGAGTTTTTAGCTGGTTATTTGAGCTCTGAGAATATCGAATGGAAATTTCTCCCTCCCAGAGCACCCAATTTGTAGGCCTTTTAGGAGGCTGGAGTTAAATCTTTTAAGAGCCACTTCAAACGTGTTGTAGGTAATGCAAAATTCACATTCAAATATCAATTTTTAACAATTTTTAACAGTTATGATTCAGATTGAAGGAGTTTTAAATTCCCGACCATTGACACCCTTATCTTCGGACATTGACGATTTAGAGGTTCTAAAACCTGGGCATTTTTTAATTGGTAGAGCAATTAATTCGATCCTGAGCTAGATATCACGGAATTTAACATTAACAGGTTAAAACTGTGGCAACAGAGCACAAAATTAGTACAAATTATCTGGAAAAAATGGAACTCCAATTATTTAAGTCATTTACAAAATCTATCTAAATGGCAAAGCTCTAAGGACAATATACAAGTTGGAGACATGGTCTTAATTAAAGATAATTTGCCTTGTTGTAACTGGGCGGTTGGTCGTATAATAGAAGTATTTTATGGTAAAGACGGAAAGGTTCGCATGTGTAATGTAAAAACTCAAACTGGAACTTTCAAGCGACCAATTACCAAATTATGCGTCTTACCAATACAAAAATGAGTATTTTCTTTATAGTTATTGTATAGTATTGAATGTGCTTCACATAAAATGTCATTATGTAACTGAAATGTTATATTGTATTGTTTTGAGTTATACGCTAATGTATATGGTAAATGTCTAATTATAATAATGATTTTATGTACTATTATATGGTAAATGTCTAATTATAATAATGATTTTATGTAATATTACTTATTCAAAATTGTTTATGATATACTTGTTTCAATTTTTATACTATATCTTAAGCACAATAGTTGAATGCTACGCATTGCAACGCGGGGCGGCATGTTTGCGCCTACGCACCTCTAATGTAATCCGCGCATGCGCATCTGTAATGATGTTCAGACGAATTTGAGAATCGCCATCGTCGGTGTAAGAGGGCTGGTCACAGCTATGAGTTAATAATAAGTGATTGTGTTTTAATTATGAGAATTGATAAAGAACCGAACCAGCGAATTTATTATAGTGTGTGTTATTTGGGATGAGACCCAAACATGCGTCTTTTAAAGAGATCATTATACGGTCTTAAACAGTCAGGACGTCAGTGGTACAAAAACTTGGATGAAAACTTAAAATTTATGAAATTTAAATCTCTTAAGTCAGATAATTGATTTTATATTAAAAAGACGTCTAACAGTGAAACTATTATAATTGTTTATGTCGACGATCTTATCGTTTTTACCGATTCTAAGCAAACGTATGAAACAATTCGCGATAGTTTAGCTTCTGCTTTCAAAATGAAAGACTTAGAGAAATTACATTATTGCTTATGAATAGAATTCTACCAAAATGAGAATTCAATTAAAATTTCTGAAAAGAAATACGTTGATGATATTTTAAATCGGTATAATATGCAAAATGCTAAATCCGTGTCCTACTTACAGACAATAGCAAAAATTATCAAAAGAGATGAGTCCTAAAAACGAAAACGAAATCGCTGACATGAAAAATGTTCCATTTAGAAATCTGTTCGGATCACTAATGTACCTATCAGTAGCTACTAAGCCAGATATCACATACGCCGTGAATTTTTAAGTCAATTTAACAACAATCCGGAAAAGAACATTGGAAAGCTGCGAAACGAATACTTCCATATCTAAAGGAAACCCAAGATCAAGGACTATATTATACGAAAACAGGAAAAGCATTCATCGTTTTTGTGGATGCAGACTGGGCATCAAATGTCAATAATCGAAAATTCTACGCAGGTTTTGTATATATATTAAGTGGTTCAGCCATAACCTGGGAATCACGAAAACAACGCAACGCAGTGTAGCTCTATCTTCAACAGAGGAAGAATATAGGGCTCTGTCTGAGGCCGCCAAAGAAACCGTCTACCTATGTCGTTTCCTGAAAGAGCTGCGTTAGAACGTAGAAAACCCAACAACAATATACTGCGACAATCAAGGAGCTCAGAAAATTACGAAGAACTCAGTGTTTCACTCCCGTACAAAGTACATAGACATTCGACATCATTTTGTGCGTGAAGTATGTGAACCCGGTGAATTGGATGTGCAGTACATACCTACCAGTGAAATGGGAGTTGATGTGTTAACCAAACCCTTGACTCCTGTTGAACATCAAAACTGGTGTACAATTATAGGATTGAATTGTGTTTAATATGTACTTTGTTGTACTTTTCAGGAATAGGAGTATCAACGTCGAAAGGGGGTATGTTGGCAACCGCTGTTGATTCCCCTAGCGCATGCGCATGATAAGCAAGTTCTTTGCTGCATGTAAGCGAGAAGTGCTAAGCGCTGTGTAATATCATGTTTCTACTCTATTGTTCAACGTTTTCATAGCTTAAATAAATGTTTGTCATGTATAAGGAAGACATCATTTTATTCTTCATTTTACTAAAAAGGTAATGAAAAAATTAAAAAATATAGTAATTCAATTACAAAACAGTATTTTCTGATATCTATGTTATTAAAATCTGTGCGCGCCTGTCTGACTGACTGTTTGTTTGGGGCATTATATCCTCCGGAACGGCAGGGAATTGAGTTTCGAGAGACAGTACACCCCCCCCCCCCCCAAATTCCAAAAATTCGTGGCAAGCTACTTCGACCATTCTCATCTTCGTACAACTTTTATCAGCCGAGATATTACTAAAAAAACTCTGAAAACGCTAATTTTCCCCCTCATTTTTCCGAGGTGCAACAGACTCGCACGCTGAAGGTAAAAATCTCCTTTATTTCGAAATGTTTTGCCACTACTTGCTTTCAAATCGTAGTTTGTTAATAAAGCATTTGAAATAAAAATAGTGTTGACAAACATTAAATATATTTTTACTACATAAGGTCATGTTCTGACTTTGGAGAAAGCAAGCAGTTTCATGTGACGTCATTGTATGTCGAAAATGTTTCCGTTATAACAGCATCTTAAATAAATAGCTGCTGTTGGCAACGTTTTAGTTTCAAATTAAGATAATTGACACGGTATGCTATTACCACGTTAATTCTCTTATTGATATTGAGAAAAAGTTGTTACATTACATCAGATTTAAATCATGATGTCATACGTATGCGTATTAACCTGAAGTGTCAAAAGTTTTTGAGGGCCCACCAGCGGCCGAGCGGTAAAATCGGTGAACACTGGTAGTTCGGTCCGAGGTTCGAATCCCGCGAACGGGCTGGCTGCATGGGCGTTTTCGTGGTTTTCCCCATGTGTAACGTGTATACGGGCCAGTTCCCCTTAGAAAGTCCTCCACGAAGGCATCCCTCCCCTTAGGCAGATAGCCCTAGTGTGCTTTGCCGTATTCTCAATACACCAATACACCATCAAAGTTTTTGCTTCCTGTCTTGGCAACAAAACATTATTTACTAACTGGTTGTTGCTTGGAAAGAATGAACTGACTTCATTCATATTGAAATGCTGTTATGCACTTTCGTTTCAGGTGTATATATAACTTATAAATTTTGCTTTGGTCGCAGCTAGTAACTTTGTATACAGTACATTAAATTAATAGTTCATTTTATTTTCGGTTTTTCAGTACATAGAATTTATAAATATTGCTTTAGCCGTAGCTCGCTCATCTAGCGGGCTTGCCCACTAGCATATATTTATTCTCAGACACTAAAGTTATGCACTTAATATATTATTAAATGCTTAAATAATTAATTTCATATTCAACGAAAACTGAAAAACAAAACATTCATATTCAACAAAAACTGAAAAACAAAGCATTCCTATTCAACAAAAACTGAAAAACAAACATTCCTAATTCAGAAGTCAAACATCAAAAATCAGCGTTAATTTACAAAATTTTCACAGGACTAGTTTCGATGGTTTTACCGAACCATCATCTCAGCTGCAAACCGCAAATGAACAAGATAGGAAATAATGTTTAGATAAGATAAGAAAGCCTGGACAAGAATAAGCAAGTGGCGCCATCTGTTGGCGAAACCAGAACTAAAACATAATTCTCTAAAAGCCGAAGGCAAATTTGGATTGGAATTAGGATCGTTAACTAGAACAGAAAAGATTTTTATGAATGTGAATGCCTCTAGAAAATCAGTTCTCCAATGGAAATGTTTTTTGAATAATTTTGGCAGCAGAAAAATTGAAAGTGTGATTTTCGGACCAACAATGTTGAGCAACAGAAGACTTCTGTGTTTCCTTTTTTCTAACATATGCCTCATGTTCTTTGACGCTAATTAACGCTGATTTTTGTTGTTTGACTTCTGAATTAGTATTTATTCGGCGTGTTATTGTGTCTTAATTAAAACATTCCTATTCAACAAAAACTGAAAAACAAAACATTCCTATTCAACAAAAACTGAAAAACAAAACATTCATATTCAACAAAAACTGAAAAACAAAACATTCATATTCAACAAAAACTGAAAAACAAAACATTCATATTCAACAAAAACTGAAGAACATTTTTAATTCTTGAAATGAAAGCACTGAATGTTTTCATATTTTATTTCCTGAGATTTATAATAAAAGCTAAAGTATTACGTTATGTAGTAATTTAGACAACACAGTGTAGGTTCTTGCTGCGTCGGTTAAGTAATGAGCTATACAAGTCTCTGTGCGGCTCTAGATTTAAAAGGGAGCTTAATTCTACATATTTTAAGAAATATGCAAGTAAACTCATAAATTCAATCTTTTCTTGGTACCATTATATTAAAAATTGCCACCGCGGACATCTCCTGGGGCGCTGAAATTATTGTCTGTCCCATCTTCTTGGATCATGTACTTTTGTGCAAGATAAAATCTTTGATGATTTCATATACAAAAACTCCCAAAGACTCTGATTTGTACCTTTCGTACCATTATGTAATGATTTACAGAGTACAAATGTTTAAAAAGCAGTACGTTACGTTCTTGTCTTACAAAATATAAATATGAATGATAGTGAGATTATCAGCTACTTTTCCGCTTCAAATCAAAGGAAGTTCATATTCTTGAAAATTAATATTCTCCGATTTCAGTTACGAATAAATTATTTTCCCTTCTTCGCAAAGACAACTTACGAAGTTAACCAGTTCGTCGACAGGTTTGGACAATATCAGTTTACAAAAACAGTTAATATTAGATTTCACATTCCTTTTCCCAATTTTGGGGTGGATTTAAATTTACGATCATGTTCTTAAACCTTTTGAACGGGCAAAATTCATCACACATAGGAAGCTTAAGCACAAAGGGCTCTTGGTTGCCATTCTCTGGAGTTGTAGAGTTGAAGAATAACAGCCGAACTGTGTAGTTCTCATGTTCCTTGTACAATTCGAATACGAGCGTTGCACAGAATGGAGGTTCCTTTCTGTTATACACATCTAATGCATTCAGAACTGCAGCCAAGTTTTTTTTATGCTGAAAGAAAAGAGGTGATCTTAAATATGTGCAACACTGAAATCTACACCTTTATTAATATATAATTTCCATAAACTGTAACAATAAAATTGTTAAAGTTATGAAATTGTTAAAGTTAAAAATAAAATTGTAAAGTTAACACCTCTGGGTTCTATAGAATTACTTCTTCTTCTTTATAAGCTCCACATTATATTATGAGATAAAGAAATTATCTGCTCTAGCAGAAGAAGTAAAACGCACGAAAGGTAAAATTTTGGAGTCAGGAGAAGTGACATTCCATTTGCTGTGCAACGCAAAATTTGAAAATTGTAATAAAAAGAACTCAAATTTATATAATAAAAAATGTTGGGTAATGAAGATCAGAAATAAAGTATTTATTAAAACATAATGATTTTTCAGAAGCATGAAAAGGTAAAAACCTTTGCTAGTAAAATACGTTTAACAATGATTAGTTTATAAACAAATAGCCATAGGAATCGTGGGAGAACATGGAAGTCTATGGAATATCGCAATAATCGATATTAAACCGATGGAATATCAAATGAGTAAATACGTAAGCGAAATGGAATGGATAAGTAAAATGTATTGATAGAATATTGTGGTAGTACATTTATAAGAAAAATAAAATACATGATGAAACAAATCAATAAATACAGGAACCTGTTGAGAAACCTGTTGAGATAGTTTTGTACTCATTTATGCCACATTTTCAAGTGGCATAAATTTCTTCGGTGCCACAAGTTTCTTCGGTGTGAGAGTATTCAAAGGAACATGTATATTGGGTACTTCAGGAAGTTCTGCTGTTTGTTTATGATAAAAACAAATCAATCAACACAAAACATACGAAACTTTCACCGAAGAATACAAGCACCATTTTATTTTATGATTTTTTGTTATCACTCAGGCAACTGGTAAATTTCGTTAAAAATTGGTTTACACTTAAAGAAGTCTTCGATTTCTGCTTTCAAAACTGCCATTTGGAAATAGAGTTTTTCCAAATTTATTGTCTGATTTGTTGGCAACGGTTTATAATATGCCGTTCCTTTTCTTTCTTAGCACATACATAAAGCATTGCGTTTTAGGAGATGCATACCACTTCTGTTTATAATACTAAAAGATAGTTTTTGGCTTATCCCTTGATCTTTTCCTATAATATTATTGTATAATATTTCACTTCTCATTTCCAGCAATGAGTCTTTATTTTGTTGCAACAAAGAATCGCATGCCAAAACTCGAGCAAATATATTCTTCTGTTTTAAAATATAGGCTAACTACACATCATGGCGGGGTACCAAATACAATGATCACGTACCGAAATTTTTGGAATGTTTATCATGTCTGATAATTGCTGTTCTGGATTATTTTAATGGGCCTTTGTTTACAGAGAATGTACATCCAAAAGGAACATCATATTCAAGGCTGAAATTTCCACACTTATACCAGCTTCGAACTGTGTTATCATCAGTTTCGAACTGAGTTTCTCATACCAGTCTCGAACTGTGTTATCAGAAGCAGCACTTTTTCTGCATGTAGGAAAAATATTTTGAGCAGCCTGACAAGCCAATTTTTCTATTTCAAAATAAAATATTAATGCCGAAATTAGCTTCTGGGTTCTCTAGAATTACTTCTTCTTCTTCTTTATAAGCTCCACAGCCTGTTACAGGCCAAGGCTGCTCTCGAAGTTTCCTCCACCTGACCCCATTCAGCGCAGTAGCCTTCCATTGGTTAACTCCAATTAACCTTAAATCCTGCTCGACATCATCTATCCATATAGTAAGTGGTCTTCCTCTTCGTCTTACTCCCTCAATTCTCGAAAAGGTTATCTTTTTGATTGGAAATGCATCATCATACTTAAACACATGGCCCAGCCATCTGATACGAGATGCTTTTACAATTCTCACAATATAAGTTTCAGCATATTTTCTATATTTTCCATATAGTTCATGATTGTTATTATGAGATAAAGAAATTATCTGCTCTAGCAGAAGAAGTAGAACACACAAAAGGTAAAATTTTGGAGTCAGGAGAAGTGACATTCAAACATTCATATTCAACAATAGAAACTGCTCTTAGATTTTCAGGAACGGCAGAAAAATTTGGAATGGCCCAGTATATGTATGTAATGTAAGATATAAACTATGCAACAGAAAATTATTAACTTGAATTTGCCAATAGTCCTTTTCATTCCCCATTTTGATTTTTGATTTCGCTGTCTCCCCTTTTTATTCTAAATGTTTTATAATAATTTTTCTGCACTGCGTCTTTTCGTTTCACAGTTGCTTGCGTAAACCTCCTACATTGCGACAGCTCGTATTCAATCGCAGATATAGAATTTAAACAAAGAAATCAAGCGTATGAATATCGCTGCTACTAATGTTGAGACATTTTTCCTTGCTTCGCCGTCCTGCTGACAACCTGTTGCTTAACCTCTGCTAGTTATTCTCTATTGTCCTGGAGATTAAAGCTGTACGAAATCGTGGGGAAGGGGGCATATCGCACCCATAAATAATGATACGTGAATCTGTTTATGCTTATCAGCGCTTGTTTTACTACGAAATAAAACTACTCCTTGTGAATACTGTAATAATTTGGAGAGATTAAACGATGGCATTAAACAGAATGACACTGATACAATAAAGACCACATAGATAGAATAATGACACTTGCAAACACAACAGATGTCGCCATGGATTCAACAGATTTTATTTCTGATTAAAACAATTCTCGAGGCACAATACTTCATTCATATCATTATGGACGCAATATGCACCCCACAATTTTGTAAGCTTAGCACGCTGTAAGCTTAAAGAAACGAGGGGCAGCGGTAAGTTAGAAGGAAGCGGAAAGCCGAATATGATACATTCAGAAGAAAACCTGGAACAGAACAGTCAAATTTTCGGTTTCAACTGAAATCTTTAGTCTGTACCTACTTTGTAGCATTACGTAACACCTTAGGATGCACATTAATTTTGATATGATGCAGTTTAGACTGATGTACTATAAATATATCCACATGCCATTTTTATTGTATTTAATTTTTTTTTTTTTGTTTAATTCTCAATTACATTATCAATGATGAAACTTAATCAATATTAAAACACAAGCAATAAACCATAAGAAAATTATGCAATTTCAGAAATTAGATGTTGATGTTGTGACTTATCTCATTTATCTGACAGTAACATCAGAACAAGCCCATAAAATTCATCGTGGCAAGGACTGCAAGATTGTTCCTATCGTTGGCAACAGACTTGAGCACCATACAGGTGACAGTTCCGTCCCCAAATCTGATGGATAGCATCCTGGGGAGACGGGCCCGAAGGTCTCCAACACCTTTTTCCTTACCACAAACTTTTCGAGAAGACTTTTCGCTTGCGGTATATTTAGAACACTTCCATATCACACAGACACACAGTACATTAAAAAATATTCATGTCTTCTCTGGGATTCGAGCCCGAGCCCTTCGGTACGGCAGTCAGTGTCACTAACCACTATTCCGGCTGGGCGACGGAAATTAGATGTAATAACAATGTTGCAATGAGCGTTTTACTTGAAGCCAAAATGTGAGAAGACAGAGAAAAAAAATATCGCCAATTCTTCATTAAGGGCTCTAAGTTGGCAAACTGAGAAGCTTTTTTCCGCGACACACGATTTTTCTCCCGATTGCTTTAGACTCCAACACATTTTTAAAAACATGGTGAAAAATCGCTCAACCAATATTTTTTTAAATTTTTACTGCTTTGAAAGAGATAGAAACGTTTGTTTACTATCTGTCATCCCCCCGGGGGTCGACGTAGAGTACTCTGCGAAGCTACTGGCTAGGATCTGCACCTAGGCAACGGGCTACTGGCTAGGATCTGCACCTAGGTCTCGGCAACGGGGGTATAATAATTACGAGCCTGGCGGTTCCCGATGATCCGTGGGGTGGGGACTGTCTCCACGCTTCACGGGTTGGGTGACGTAAATCCTCTTAACTAGGGCATCGGTAGCCAAACAGCGCCTGGGCCATGGAGCGTCCAGTCACCGCTGTCCTTGGTAATCCGTGCAAGGCCTGGAGGGAGGGGTAGCTCTTGTAGTACTGGCGGGTAGCATCTAAACGATCAGTCAAAACTCTAGGCATTCAGCCCACCCCATCGTGGTCTCTGATCGCTGGGACGGAGGTCTTGGTTGACCAGTTTAGCGATGGGCCTGCTTAGCAGAGAGATGTTTCTGGTGATGTGGGCACCGGGACCTCAGTTGGAGTGTACAACCATCTCCAAGGTGGCGTTTTGCTGGGACGCCCGCCCCGTGCCTAATATCGGGGGACTGAATTGGGTATTACCAGCCGCGTAGTGTCACTAAGTTGACGACGCGCGTATAAAAATTAGTTAGTTAGTTACCATCTGTTAAAAGACTGTTTTTACTATCGGTTTTTATATCCAGTACATTTTTAGATGTTAAAGTTTTAAAATCATAAACATCAAATAGTCTTAAAGTCGAATAATTTTCGAAAATTTGCCAAAAATTTAGAAATCAAGATACAATTTTCCTGCAAGTTTCAGTAAAAAGACTTTATTCGCTCTGTTTGATGGTGCAATCAGTAAAATTATGATATTATGTTTATTCGCTAAAAGGAGATGTGTCGAAAAATCATTTAAATATTAAATTTTAAAAAATCTAAATCGGATTTTGGAAAAAATTCGCTTTAACACATAGCATTGTTATCGACAAACAGTGTATGCAGACTGCGCAAAACAAATGGGACATTTCTATATCTCACGTTCTACTGGGCCAGTTGACGAAATTCAACTTGCGTTTCTCATGTCTCGAAAGTGTGACTTAGGATGTGTATTAGATTTATATATAGCATTGTTCTAATATAGGTATTTTGACATAAAATCGGACTTTTCTGAAATAACATACCAATTTTTTTCCCATATTTCGATTCTACGACTCAAGTTACGCCAAACTACCAAGTTTTGTAAAAATCGCAAGAGTAGTTTTTAAAGATTAGTTCTCAAAATTTTAGCTCCTCAATGTTAATTGAATTTGGCAAATATTTATTAATCTCTTTTTTTATTAAATTTGTTTGATTCTTCCTTTCACATTTCGAAATTCGGGTTCATTTCAAATAACGTTCATCCACTTTTTATGATTTATTTTTTAAATTTGTATTTTTAAATAATTTTTATAAATTTTTCAAAAACATTTTGAATGATAATTTATACGATTTTTGCCATCATCTTAAAGCAGACTCATTCCTAAGCATACCTGCAAATAATTACAGTATTTTATTCAAAACTTCTGAAGATGTACGTGAATTTATATATTGGCGCGTTTTGAAATTTGGCATATTTTTGAAGGCGATAAAACATTAGATGTGGTTTAGACACTTTCTAAAATTATTTAAAAGTTGGAACGATGTGACTTTTTTTCCATTCATAGCACAAAGTAAAAATGTAAAAACGACAAGCCTTTTTTTCCGCTCCCGCATAATGGAAGGGAAAGGAAAATTGGCTGCCATATATTAAGAAGTTCGCCAAGTGAATTATTCTTGGCACAAACTGAAAAGAATTGCGACAAGCTGACCTCTTGTCTAAGAGCCTACGGTGTAGTAAAGAGATATCAGGGCACTGCTATACATGGCTCTCCGAGGGCTGATTGTGCCGCCGAGTTCAAGAAATAGATTATTTTTAAGGCAGGCACAGTACGGTTACTATGGAACGGGATATCTTCGTTCAGGATTTTCGAAGAGAAATGTGCTCATATGTAAAGAATTATCATATTTGCTTGTCTTTGCAGTACATTAAATGTAAGGAACGACAAGAAAGCTTTCATGCAACTAACCTCATGCAGTCACATTACACATACGAAAACCCTTGCAGCCAGGCCATCCGCCTGGGTCTGAACTACCAATATTCAGCTGTCTTAGCACTCGGCCATTGGTGGAGGCGATAGTTATAGCAAAGTACAAATAGAATATTTCTTGTTCGTTAAAGTAATATAACTTTCTACACATGTATGTGATGATTTGGGAATGACTCAGATAGATTTTGAAGCATACATAGTAGATCCGAAATGAAGAAGAAAGTTGAAAGTCACATAGATGCAATAAGACGCAGTTGTAGCAGATTTAAGCCATATTTTATTGTAGTCAAATATTTTGCAGCCACAAATACTCAGCACATTATTCGTGCCTATTCCAGAATAGTTAATTTTTTTTTTTTTTTTTTGCGAGAGCAAGAAAAGCAGCAATCTGTGTCTTGGCGAGAGCAGAGGATAAATGTAAAGCCTATTCAGCAGCTGCGATGTTTATAAACTCGACTCTTTAGTTTCAGGTTTAAATGGTGAGTGGACAAGAAATATAGATCATTGCAGTCATTGGAGATGAAATAATGACATAACTGAAGCAGTACAGCTTCCTTGAAAGGGAATTAGTCAAGTTAGGAATCAAAATGGCTATTGCCAAATTAAATTGATAATCCGTTAGTCATATTTCATATCTTACATCTATACATTGAGAAATTTTATGTTCAAACGCGTTAAATTAAAACAGAGTAACTTCGCAATAGATATATATTTAGGAAGTTAGATTATTTTTATGAACAGGAAATATTATATTTGTATTTCGCTATAAAATTTTGAGTAAATTATTTGGTGCAAAATTATCGAATATACACCATTCTTTGAATGCATTTTTCCTACTTAAATTCCGTTTGATTCAAAATTATTCAAACACTAAAGATATTCTGAGTTAATAAATGTACGAATACTAATTCTTAGATCTATACATACTCACCCCAGAATACACAAACACTTTCTTCTCTTCGCCCTCAATTCTTTTCTTCATTAATTTTCCGATGTGAACCAAGAGAGGCGCTGTTATGAAAAAAAAAAAAAAAAAAAAAGAACTTTTATTAGAAAGGAGCATAACTAAGAAAAATTGATTTTCGTAGAACATATAGCATTTTAAACACTTTTTGTTAAAATATTGTTCCGAATTTTGTATATATGTAAATAATTTCAGTGACATTTTTTATGAATCGTAGTGCCCCTTGTATAATGTAATTTGAAATACTTCAAGAGACGAAGCTTTACCAGAAAACTAAGATTACAGGTACAAGTCCATTTAATACTGAGATAAACGGCTACCTCGCCAAACTAGCGATGGTTTTTAGCGCCAAGCTGGCGATGATTTCTGATGATTAATTTTTGTCCCCAATTTTGGCAAGAAATCGCCAAAAATATTGGAGACCATTTGGTCTGAGACACGTATAACTGTAATTGGTCTGATCCTTACATGTAACTGTAACTGTTATGTGGCCCTATATGTAAATGTAACTGTATATGCCTTGCAGTAATTTCGAGAAATCGAGCGTTCTGGAAATTTCTTGTCGGCTGAGAGAAAACTGCATAAGACCGGAGACAGCATTAATTCTCGGTTTTCAGTTTAGATTGATTTCGGAGTATTGAGAGATCCTCGGGCCAGCTTCGTTCTTTACATGTGCTTTGGCATTGCGCTGTGATTAACATTGTTAGTAGTTTGAAGTGGTAGCTACTGATTGTGCTGTGTCATACTGGAAAGAGCTCCACGAGATTTTTCACGGAAAATTCCAGAACTTTAGAGTGTTTCTTTTTGAAAAAAAAATTTTTCAAGCTATCTTCGATTGTGTGTATTCAATCCACTACGAACCCCTAAACAACGCAACAGTATATAATAATTAAAATATTTCTTTTGATATTTAATAATATTTTATCTAAATATGATGAAGTTTCACTGTACATATTTGACTAGCATAATTTCGCTGCTGACTAATGTTCCTAAGGAAAACAAAGTCACAAGTTATCAAAAAAATCAATCGTTTAAATTTTATTTAAAGTATAAATAAAGTTTAAATATTAATCTAAAGTACGTTTATGTATAGTGTTTGATATTTGCATTTTGGTAATGAATTTGTGACAGCTAACGCTCACTTTACAAAGGCTTCGGTGGACCTCGAAGCATGTTACAACAAAATTTCTTTATTTCATTCACTGTAGTTGAAAATTTAAAGTTAGAATTTTAATCACAACACGTACATTCTCTCTCTGTTGTCTCTTCTCTGTGTTCAATTCAAACTCCTGATAGACTTAACAACGTTTATAGATTTTTCGTGAGTAATATAAACGTCATCCCCTGTTCAGCCGACAACAAAACCCGTGAAAATATAAAAAACGTGATTACCAATTTTCTATATAATCAGTTACTTGCCTATTCATGAGAGGCAAACGGATCAAACTTTGAAAGATTTCGTGTCCCTGACCTTTTCGGAGATCAGCTCGAGAGTTAAATCTACTATTATTCTCTCTTCTTAGCATTCTCTTCCGGCTCGAGCTTCGGCAGGTAGCCGAGAGGTCCTACTGCTTCTGTGAACTACTTTGTCTACTTTGACGAGCTCAGGAGACTACTTTGACGAGTGGACACCTGAAATGCCTTAAATTTGACCGAGGGAATAAGATCTACTCCATCTGTAGGAAATCTTATACTGATAATTTAACTTCTGAACAGCTTCTCTGTTTGGGACTTATAAAAGAGGACCTATTGAAAAGACTTATCTTCGTATTGGAAATGCTGATGGCTGTTGGATTCATGGATCTGGTCTGGCCTAATAACTGGCTACTTAGGATGGGTAACAACAACAGATTTCGTATCATTGTCTTTGTAAATAAATTTTGAAACAGAGATTTAAACAGAAATGTCAGAGAAAAGAAAAAAAAAAAAAAACGCTTATGAAATTTCCGTACCTGCTTTTAGTCTTTGATATTCTTTGGATTTTGTGGGAAAATATAATGAAATATCGTTTATTCGTTCCAGTTCTTCCCAGGTTTGCCTAGCCCAGGATGGAATAATTAAATTGTATATCTTCTGTAATAAAGAAAATTTATATTGTAACAAAAAATTATGATCTTTCGACATGGAATTTAATAAACATAGAGATACAAAATGAACGTTGATATGATTTTACGAAAAACATTCTTATTTAGAAAACGGGTACTATCTGATACTTCATTATGTGGAATACATAGTTAAAAATATCTGATGTGGACACCACATGACTAGCACTGCTGGAGTGCCAGGTGAACTGTAGCTACTATCACTTGGCATTCTAGTCGTGCCTAATGAGGCCCACCAGCGGCCAAGCGGTAACGTCGCTGAACACTGGTAGTTCGGTCCGAGGTTCGAATCCCGCGAACGGGCTGGCTGCATGGGCGTTTTCGTGGTTTTCCCCATGTGTAACGTGTATACGAGCCAGTTTCCCTTAGAAAGTCCTCCACGAAGGCATCCCTCCCCTTAGGCAGATAGCCCCAGTGAGCTTTGCCGTAATTAAATACACCAACACCAACTAGTCGTGCCTACTCAAGAACATTTACATTTTTGATATTGCTGCGATAGGAACAGAGCAGAATGAAACAGCATCTAAGCGCCACAGAGGCAAAACCTGAAGTGTGTAGTTATCCAATATGAAAGCACACGAAGAGAAAGGTTTTGGTTTGTAAAAATACAGGAGCACGCGCATTTAATAAATAGATATCTCGTAATTTATATTTAAATCGAATAAATGCAACTGTGCGTTAACAACTGTGCGAATAATGTAACTGTAATTCTACTCTTTCGCTTTCCGGAAACTTCGAGAAAATTGAAATTACCAGAATGTTCTCGTGCATGATTAAAAAGCCTGATAAAAATATCTCAGTTCAGTTTATATTCTCAGTTGTTTTAGCGAATTGCTGTTGTTTACTTAACTGCTGTAATTTCGAGATTCGGATTAGCTTTCTCTGCTCTTTGGATTGCGTTCTATTTAACGTTCTAGTAGTTTAAAATATAACTACTGCGCGATATCGTGTGATATTGTGATTTTTTACGAATATCTTTGAGGAAATATCCAGCGTTTTATTATATATCTTATGATAAGAGTAACTTTTATTAACTTTTCATCAGTTTTGTGCAATCAATCTCTTACGAACCCGGATCCAAGCAACAATACTTTTTAATATTTTTTTAATATTTTTAATACTTTTTAATAGTTTTCATTTAATTAATTTAATTCCTTTTTTCACAGGTCGAAGTATAAGCTCAATCTAAATAAAATTCGCAGATATTTTCTGATTACTTATTTTAATTTATATTTTTTAGTAATTTTTATAAATTTTTCGGGAAACGTTTTGAATTTTATCTTCTAAAATTTTTGCCATTACTTTAAAGTAGATATATTTCTAGGCGTATCTACAAAAATTAGAGTTTATTATTCAGAATTTCCCAAGATATATGTGAATTTATATATTGGCGTGTTCTGAAATTTGGCATATTTTTTATCAGCGATAATAACGCCAAATATGGTTTACGCACTTTGTTGAAATTATTTGAAAAAGTAACCGATGCACCTTTCTGTCCCCTTGTGCACTATGAAAGGGAAAGGAAAATAGCTTGCCATAAATTAAGAATTTCGCCAAGTGAACTATTCTTGGCTGAAATTGTAAACAGTGCGCCAAGATAAATTTTTAAATTTCTCGGTAAGTTTCTCGCCAAAATTTATAAAATTTAACATTTAGGCATACTTTGACTCGTATACTCGAATTATGAAAAAGAAATTGGTATGTTATTTCAGAAAAAGTCCGATTTTGTGTCAAAATATCACTGTTAGAACAATGCTGTGTATAAATCTAATAATATATACTAAGTCGCGCTTTCGAGACATGAAAATCTCAATTTAAATTTCGTCAATCGGCCCAGTAGAACGCCAGATATAGAATTTCCCCTCTTTTCTTCGAAGACTGTCCAGCCTTCTTCATACACTTTTGAAGTTTTCTGTCTTTTTTTTTTTTTTTTTTTTTTTTTTTTTTTTTTTTTTTTTTTTTTTTTCGTATTGTTCGCTATGTAAATTCCTTATTTCTATTGCAATTTATTCTTTTAAAATGAAATGGTCGGGAAGAGATATAGAGGTACTCTTATCTCCATTAGCTTCATTTTTCTCTCTTGAAAGAAAATTAATTATTAAGTCGATTATGAACTTTTACAGAATTTATCATACTTGTAGAATCTCAAACGTGTTTCTGATGCGATAAATGAAACGTTACTCTAATGAACATCAATTCAAGACATACTTCGATTTGCAACTTACTTCCATAGACAAAATATCGTACAAGGCTGCTGCATCTGCCCAGGTTTCTATTTTTAATCCGCTGCGATACGACAAATATTGGAAAAGTCTCTGAAAGCAAAATAATTGAATTTTAAAATGGCATAATGATATTGTATGCACAGTAAATATTCAGTTTTGCTCTGTCTTATATATTGCCACGGATTGCTATGCATCTTCTTTTATCTCATATTTGAAGATATTTCATATGAAATAATATAAGCATTTGGAAATGTTTATATCCTTTATATAACAGTAATCAACCCAAAATGTGCATTAGAAAGATTTTTGGGTCTGTAGTATCTCATTTTAGAACAGTCTTTCTTGGCGAATAATAAGACAGGTGCTATGACTAAGACGTCCGAGAACGATAGTATTATAAGGTGTTTCTCCCGCCTTCTTAGCGCGCCTTCGTGGTGTAGTGGTCTGCATGCTGGGCGCGTATTCCAGAGGTCCGTGGTTCGATTCTTCCAAAAAATGCCTAATGTCTCTGCAATGGCACCCGTACTAAAAGGGTGGTGGTAAAAGGGAACTCATTTTTCACTTCTAAAAAATACTTAATGTCTCTCAGTATCTGCGATTGTGAAGAGCAAAGACGTTTTTAAATAGGTTAATGTTGTATAGGGGCTGAAATCGATTATTAAACGAAGATCAGAGACGTTAAACATGGTAAGAAATTGCTTTTGATTTAGATAACAGAAACATTTTATGTATGGTAGGATTTATGTACAGTATATACTTGTATTTCACCCACTGCATTTCTATTTTAGACTTAGATAACTTTTAGAGACATTAGGATTTTTTATGGAAGCAGGCAAGATGAAAAATGAGCAATCGCCTTCGCCGGGAATCGAACCACGGACCTCTATACCGGCCCAGCGTGCAGAACCACTACACCACGAAGGGAGGCTAGGAAGGCGGGAGAAATACCTTATATACTCCCCGTTTTAAAGGGGCGACTGGGGCTTTTAGGAGACCCAATTGCCAAATCCTGGGTGAGGAGAATCATCATCCAACACCCTTTTAGTTCGGGCGCCACTGTAGAGACATTAGGTTATTTTTGGAAGCAAGAGAGATTGAAAAATATGCAACGCCTTGGCCGGGAATCGAACCACGAACCTCTGGAATACCGGCCCAGCGTGCAGAAACACTACTCCATGAAGGCACGCTAGGAAGGCGGGAGAAACACCTTATAAGGTAAATAATACAAAAATAGGATTTTTTTAATTGAGAACAGATTAATTATTTTCCCTTTATTTCTTACTGGAAAAGATTCTTTGGTTTACGTCCAGTATGGTGTAACACTCCAGATATGTGGTACAGATTTATGAAGTACTAGATGCGTTGCAATGTTAATTAAAGGAAAGAAAGTATTTGTCTTTGAATTCAACTTATTGAAGTGCTTATAAATACACAACACTTGTTCGTTTTTCCATCTGGTGCGTACACGAATGAATCGGAAGGTTTCTGACATGCAGCTGCCCTTGTGTAAAGTATGGCTTTTTATTTATTATTATTATTATTTGGTGTTACAAATTCACGTTCAGAACGCAAACAAAGCGCGTATAATACAATAAAATGCATGTGAATGCGTGAGAAATTAAATATTTTACGCTTTGCTGAACGATAACACACTTTATAAGGTATTTCACATGCCTTCTTAGATGCCTTCGTGGTGTAATGGTCAGCGCATTCGGTGCGCATTCGAGAGGTTCGAGGTTCGAGTCCCGGTGAAGGCATTGTTTGTTTTTCATCTCTTCTGCTTTCAAAAAATACCTAATGTCTCCACAACGACGCCCGAACTAAAGAAGGTGGTGGATGATTATTCCCCACTACCAGAATTTGGCAATTGGATCCCCTAATCTCCAATCGCCGTTTAAAAGGGCGGGTATATAAGGTATTTCTCCAGCCTTCTTAGCATGCCTTCGCACACTCCGCGCATTCGAGAGGTCCGAGGTTCGAGTTCCGGCGAGAGCATTGCTCATTTTTCATTTCTCTTGCGTAAAAAAAAATACCTAATGTCTCTACAACTTTAAAACATTTTAATTCGGGCGGTGGCAACACATTTATCTTAAATACCTCGGTTTGTTTATTAAATTCGAGACAAATTAATATAATTACGTTTTCCCGAGTGGCAATAGCTTTTTTTTATATTGCTGAATTTTCTGATTAAATTTGAAACATATATATCTTACGTTTTGCAGAGTGGTAACGCAAAGCATTTAAATCACTATGTTTGGTTTTTGAGAAATCTTCCCTTTCAGAATGTACCTCTGCGGGAGAAAATCACTATTTAGACTCACAACCGTCAGGCCCAACATGGAATACATCAAGGAATTGGCAAGAGCAGGTTAATACATCGCCTGCCAAAAACCAGTATAACCCCAAAGTTCCAAAGCTGAGATATCTCATGTACACAGTGACCTTCTTTTTCTTTTGAAGGTCCAGTGTGGCAGGTTTCATAAAGATTGGAATTAAATTATAGATTTACGTAAAAGAAAAACAGACATTCATTTTTGTCATATATCTTAAAAGTATGAAAACTATGAAACCAGAAAAATTTATAACAAATTATACAAAAATCTCATATAATCTTGTTGCAGTAATTAATCAGTATTTGATCTGTACATCTATTTTTTAGCAGAGTTTAGCGATGTACAATTTAAGTATGCGAACTGATTCCAGCATTAGGTCTGCCAACCTTGAACTTCGGTTCGGTTTGGAGAAAATATGAATGATACTAATCATTCAAAAACAATAATATCAGTTTAATTAACTGCTAAATACATGTAGATAAGCTAGAGAAGATATAATCTATGAAGTTTCTAGCAACAATGTGTTTTGCAAAATGAGCAGAATCATTTGCAGTTTACGTATTGCTTATGTTTTGAACAAATTTATCATATTTTTTATAAATTGTTATTATTATAAATTACATTATTATAAATGATGATAATTTCGCTAATTACATAAAATCAATTTTTTAATGTTTCATAAAATCTGCAATCTATACTTTGAGTTCAAAGTTATCAAAAGATGATTCTTAAAATTTCTCTGAATTCTGGCAGCATTTTTTCAAGCCTTAAATGTCTTCTATGCCTTATAAGGTATTTCTCCCGCCTTCCTAGCGTGATTTCATGGTGTAGTGGATCTGCACGCTGGGCCGGTATTCCAGAGGTCCGTGGTTCGATTTCCGGCGAAGGCGATTGCCCTTTTTTCATCTCTCTTGCTTACAAAAAATCCTAATGACTCTACAGCCTTATGAAATTAGTTACATAAAAGGCACATATAATTTCATGCATGCGGTGTCATGGACGATTGAAAACAAGCATGTTGCTAGATCTAATTAATAAATAATATTTTTAAAAAATCTTACAGTTTTCTGATTTTATAAAATTCTCAAAGGGACTTTTTAAAACTTTTTGCGTGTTACCTTTATTTATTAAACACTGTTACGGATTTTGTATTTATTTATCTATTTTTAGTAGAATTTGTAATTAAAATTGTTTCATACTCTCGTGTAATGCAGCACGAGACTTATTTGAAAAGAAAGCTACGCCGGAAAACTTAAAATACAGGAGCACGCGCATTTAACATTTTAAGAAATAAATATTTCGTAATTGTACCCTTTTGCTATCCAGGAAAATCGAGAAAATAGCAGAATGCTCTCGTGTAGGAACAAAAGGATTATAAAAGCCAGAGGAAAGCATCTCAGTTCACTTGTTTACTTAGTTCTTGTTCTTGACTATAATTCGCGGTGAAATCGGATTAGCTTTCTCTGTTTTGAATTGAGTTCTATTGAACGTTTTAGTAGTTTAAAATATAACTACCGTGAGATAATGTGATATTACGAATATCTCTGAGAAAATTTAAGTATTTTGTATTTATTCTTAGAATAATAATAAATTTTATTAACTTTTTATCGACTTGCGCATTCAATCTACTACGAACCCGTACGCACAGGAGTGTACGTTGTACACTCCCGTACGGTGTCAGGAGTGGCGTTTGAATGCCAATCACTAGAGCGATGGAAGAGCAATTGAGACAATCTGTCACTGATTTTGCTGCATTCCAAGAAAAGATGGAAGCTGGACAAGCATCATTTAAAGAAGAGATAAAGGATTTCGTAAAAGAGATGAAAACTGGCCAATATATCGTCAAAGAGGAGATGAAAGCTGGCCAAATTTCTGTTAAAGTAAAAATGAAAGCCTTTTAAGAGAATTGAATCCGGACAAGAAGTGATGAAAAGAGAAAATACTTGCATTATGGAAAATAGATTTGATGCTATGAAAGGCAGAATACACGCGGTTGAAAATAAAGTTGGAAGAATTGAAGAAAACGTTTCTTCTGTTAAAGAACAAATAGAAGAGAGAGTTTCGACAGTGGAACGGCAAATCTATTAACGAGTTTCTTATGTCAAAAAACAAATAGGAGATAAAGTTTATGTAGTGGAACAACGAATCAAAGGAACAGATTTTGCAGTCCAACACCAAATTGATCACAAGGTTGCTGTGGTCGCCAAAGAAGCTGATACCTTGAAGAAATTCGTAGCGGAAGCAGAGATCAATAGAGATAGTTTTAAATTTTTATCCATGCCTGCTCGTTCCTCACTGAAGATATCCACATATGATGGGAAGACCTTCGGCACATGTACAAGACATAATTCACAATAGTGTCGGAATCGAACCGATGGGATTCCCAAGCTAAAACCTGCCATCTCGCCGCTTCTTTGAGATAAGACGCGGCGGATTTCCTTCAGACTCTTCCCGAAAACAAAGGCTAGAAAACCAAACGATAAAGCCAAAAGCTTTAGAAGCTGTGTGCTGCGCACTGGAGCTGAGCTTTGAGGAGAAGTGTTCAAAAGAATATAGTAGGCTTCAATTGAAATCCCACAAACAGAAGCCCACGGAAACCCTCCAAGAGCTCGTCACGGATGTTGAAAGGCTATTTCATCTCACCTTTTCGAAGTGCCCGACAGAAACAAGGGAAATCCTGTACTTGCAGTACTTCATTCGACGGAATCCGGGATCCCGAAATACAGTACGTTCTGCGAATGGAGGATGTGAAGGACTTGAAAGGCACTATAGTGTATGCCTTGAAATTCGAAGCAGCCCGGCAAGTCACTCGTAGAGAC